TAAATGCAGCATCGATTCTAAAACTGTTTTTTCCAAAACAACCCAGAAAACCTTTTTAAGAATTAAGACAATTTGCCAAATTCTGGAGACTTAAATGAATAGAGTAAACGAGAAATAAAGTGGAATTTCTCCCCATGTATTTTGTGGGCGAACGGGGTAGCCAATTTGCATACAGCATATCCCGGAAACATCCAAGAAGTGAGTGAGTGATTTTATCTGGGGGAATTGTCGGCCAGGCACTGGGAAAGAGAAAACTCTCTCAAGATCTTTAACATCTACCTAAATAGATATAGACAGGATCTCAGTTTAATGTCCCATCCGAAGGACGACACTTCTGTCAATGCGGCAACCAGCGCTGCACTGGAGCATCAGCTTTGAATGTAGCTCAAAGTCCCCGAAAAGGAGGTTTGAACCCACAACCCTTTGACTCAAAGGTGAGAACATTCACCGACTGAGCCAGGCTGACACCTACTTGTGTGCAAAAAGAGTGCTAAGAAACTGGAACCAACCTAGAACTGGGTGGGAATTTCTCCTCAGCTGTGCGGCAGTCAGCATTCAAAGGGTTAACTCTGACTGGTACCAGCCCAGCCTAGGGGTGGAGTATGTGTGTGTGGGGGGAGGGGGACTTAGGAGGGGAGAGAGAGGGGTATTGTATCGGTGTGTTTGATGATTATCAGCACAGAAAGCTGAGAGAAAGCGGAGAGGTATTAGAAGGAGGCAGATCAGTTGACAATCGATGGGGGACTGAGCGAGGAGGCTGGGAGACATCTCCCAGATTCAGGACTTCAGCACCGCTCACCAACAGAGGCCAAGAGCTTAATTGATATTGTGGGAAAAATTTCAAGGACGCTCTCATTTGTGGAGGTGGGTGAGGGGGAAGGATGCTCGAATTAGAGAGTGATCTATGAAAATAATAATATAGGGCCTTATCATGTCATTGAGATGTCCCAAAGAGCTTCACAAGCGAATTGTGCACATCAGTGTTCCACAAACAGTTATGGATTACGTAGAATTACATAGAATGTACAGCACAGAAACAGGCCATTCGGCTCAACTGGTCTATGCCGGTGTTTATGCTCCACACGAGACTCCTCCTGCCCTTCCTCAGCTAAGCCTAGAGGCATAACCTTCTGTTCCTTTCTCCCTCATGTAATAATAATAATAATAATAATAATAATAATAATCCTTGCATTTGATATAGCGCTTTTCACGTCAGGAGGACGTCCCAAAGCGCTTCACAGAACACACTGTAAAGTGAATTGACTGTATATTTGTGGGCGAACGCGGCAGCCAATTGCGCACAGCAATGTCCCACAAACAGTCGTAGATTGAAAATGACCAATTTATTATTGTTTTTGGTTTTGGAGGGATTATTATTAGGCGTGTGGAGTAAGGAAACTTGCCCAAGGTTTCGCCTTGTCTGCCTAGAATTGAACTCAGGTCTCTCGCTTGCAAAGCGAGTGCTCTAACCACTGAGCTACAGGACTCCACTATCTAGCTGTACTTATCTATCTTCCCCTTAAGTACATTTATGCTATTCGCCTAAAGAACTCCTTGCGGTAGCAAGTTCCACATTTGCACTACTCTTTGTATGAAGAAATTTCTTCTAACTTCCCTATTTGATTTATTGGTGACTATTTTATATTGTTGGCCCCTGGTTTTGATCTCCCCCACAAGTGGAAACATCTTCTCTATGTCTACTCTATCAAAACCTTTCATAATTTTAAAGACCTCATGTAGGTCATCCCTTACCCTTCTCTTTTTAAGAGAAAAGAGTCCAAGCTTGTTCAGCCTTTCCTGATAGATATAACCTTTCAGTTCCAGTATCATCCTTGTAAAGCTCCTTTGCACATTCTCCAGTGCTCTATATCCTTTCTACAATATGAGAACTAGAACTGTACGCAGTACTCCAAGTGTGGCTTAACCAAGGTTCGATATAAGTTTAGCATAACTTCCCTGCTTTTCATTTCTATGCTGCTAGAAATGAACCCAATGCTTGGTTTGCTTTTTTAATGGCCTTATTAACCTGCGTTGCTACTTTTAGCGATTTGTGTATGTGTACCCCTAGATTCCTTTGCTCCTCTACCCCATTTAGATTCTTATTTTCCAGGCAGGATGTAACCTCCTTATTCCTCCTACCAAATTGTACCATCTCACACTTATCTATATTGAAATTAATTTGCCAATTAAATGCCCATTCAGCAAGTTTATTAATGTCTTGTCATTTGTTGCAGTCCTCCTCAATATGAAGTACTCCCCCCAATTTGGTGTCGTCCACAAATTTTGAAACTGTACTTTCGATCCCTGAGTCCAAATCTTTAATGTAAATTGTGAACAGTGGTCCCAATACCAATCCCTGTGAAACACCACTTTCCACCCTCTGCCATTTACCCCAACTCTGTTTTCTGGATTGAGTGACCACATTTTTTTTAGGGATTATTACCCTTGGAAAGCCATCCGCCAGTCGACTAACAACCGGGTTCCGACTTACTGCTAGGTAAACAGAGGTGTGTAGAGTAAGGAAACTTGCCAAAGGTTTCGCCCCACCTGGGAATCGAACCCAGGTCCTCTCGCTTGCAAGGGGAGCGCTATAACAACTGTACTACAGGACTCCACAATCTGTGACCTGTTAACACCGTTTAAAAGTTGCTGTTGTCATTTACAACAATATGATCATGTTCTAAGCACTCCCCTCCCACGTCAGGGTCTTTCAGCTCACAATTTGTGCTGATACTGGGAGAGTGTTGCGTTGTTGGAGACGCCGTCTTTCAGATGATACATTAAACTGAGCTATGCAAAAAATGAAGAGAGTTCCTCTCTCCCGGTGTCCTGGCATGACAATCCCCCAGATAAAAATTGGTCACTCACTTCACGGCTGTTTCTGTGCACAAATTGACTGCCATATTTGCCTACAAATACACAGTCACTGCACTTTACAGTAATTCCTGTGAAGCTCTTTGAGACATCTCGACAATATGATGTTATCAAATGCAGGGATGATTGTTATAATGGAGTCCTGAAGTATAGTGATTACAGTGCTCACCTCGCAAACGAGAGGTCTCTGGTTCGATTCCCAGGTGGGTTGAAACCTTAGGCAAGTTTCCTTACTCCACATGACTCTGTTTAACTAGCAGTAAGTAGGAACCCGGTTGTTAGTCAATTGGCAGATCAATTCTGGGGGTAATAATCCCTGCAAAAAAAGTTAGTCACTCGAACCACAACTGTTTGTGCGACACTACGGTGCACAATTGACTGCCGCGTTTTGCGCACAAAATACACAATCAGTCCACTTTAAAATATATTTAGTGAAGCACTTTAAGACATCTCAATGACATGATAAGGCGCTATATCAAATGCAAGAATTATTATATCTATTATGATGTAAGATTTCAGGCCAACCTGGTGTCTGGCACACGCAGGAACCCATCACTGAGCTTAAAATCTCCAAATCAGACTGAGTGTTCCACACATGTACGTTACCCAAACTTGGAATTTCCTTGTGTATTGGAATGGAATGCGCTCTCTCTCCCTGGAGGTATGCATGCTGCTTACCTAAATCCGGAAAGTATTAGGCACACGTTGGCATGAGCCAAGGCTTGGGGACCCCAGAGGGTGTGTTGGGGTAACTGCTGGAGTCTAACCAACTAAAACCGCCATTATGCACAGTGTCAAATGGTCAAGGTGCTTCACAGGGAAATGCTGCAAAATGTAGTGGTTGTATGTTTTGCAGGGGCAAATGTGGCAGCTAATTTGTGCACAGTAATGTCCATAGGGTGAATGAACAGTCTTATCTGGCAGATTATAGCCCAGGACACCGGGAGAGAGAAATTCCCTTCTGATTTCCAAATGGTGCCCTTTTTGCTGTTTATCAAGACTTTCTGACTATGCCTTCGGTCACCATTCCCCTCACACAACCTACCTGAACTCTCCCTCTCCCTCACCCCCTCTTCCCCATTCCGCACTCCCCCCTTCCAACTGTGTCAAGTGCTTAGAGATATCCTCCCAATGTGAAAGGTGCTGTTTAAATGTAAATTGTATTGTATTCACTTTATTCATTTTTATTTCCAAAGGAGCTGGGGAGTGGTTTGTTTTGGCTCAGAGTGGCATACCCAGTGTGTCCATTCCCCCCACCACCCGCCCTCCCCCGATAACAAAGACGGGTTTATTTATCTATGTTGCATTTGCTCAAAAAGGAAGGATGATTTTAACACACCTCTCAGAATGATCAGATAATTGGTAATTAGGCAATCAAACCAATGCAGAGCTATTTCAGCAGCATTGTGTTGGATTATGGATGCGAATGCTACTGAGCGAGTCATGAAAATACCAGCATAGACACGATGGGGAAAGAGCAGGGAATGGGATGAGAATGGAGGGCTCCAGTGAGGGAATGAGCCACCAGCACAGACACAATGAGGGGAAAGATGGTTTGGTCCATTTGGGGTTGTGTATAGTGAGAGGAAATCTATAATAATAACAATCCTCGGATTTGGTATAGCACTTTATCAGGTCATCAAGACATCTCAAGGTGCTACACAGAATATACTATAAAGTGGATTGACTGTATATTTTGTGGGCCAAATGCGGCAGCCAATTGTGCATAGCAGTGTCCCACAAACAGCCGTAGATTGAATGACTAAATTATTATTAGTAGTATAAATATATTGTTTTGAAGGGATTATTGCCCCCAGAAAGTGATCTGCCAATCGACCAACAACGGGGTTCCTACTTACTGCTAGCTAAACAGAGGTATATGAAGTAAGGAAACTTGCCTAAGATTTCACACCACCTGGGAGTTGAACATGGGTCTTTTCGCTTGCGAAGCGAGTGCTCTAACCACTGAGCTATGGGACACAATGGAAAGTTAGCTAAATTGGTGAAAGGAGATGGGTTTGCAGGAATAGTGACAGGAAGTGGCTGTGGTGGCATTGTACAGACAAGGGCCGGAAACAATGTTCAGCATGAAGTTTGCCACGATAACCAGAATCTTTTTTTTCCAGATTTTTCCTCAAGTTCTTCCTGAAGTGCAATCAGAACTGCCTGAAGAATGCCGGGAATCCTCGGGATATGCGTCGATTCCAGGTACCACCAAACTCATGACAATAATATATTATATAATATTTACAATCCACCTCTTTTGTTATAGTAATGATATTAAAACAATAACTATCCACCCCATTAATAATAATAATCCTTCCATTTGATATAGCACTCTATCACATAGTTGGGATGTCTCAAAGTATTTTACAGGATAGACTGCAAAGTGTAGTGACTGTTGTGGGTGAAACCTGGCAGCCAGTTTGCGCACAACAATGTCCCACAAACAGCCATGGAGTGAGTGACCAATTATATTTGGGGGCTTGTTGGTCAGGACACTGGGAGAAAGAAACTCCCTTCTCTTTTCCAATAGCATCATGGTATCCATGGCACGATCAGGTCATCAAGACATTTCAAACCGCCACACAGAATATACTGTAAAGTGGATTGACTATGTATTTTGTAGGCAAAATGCGGCAGCCAATTGTGCGCAGCAGTGTCCCATAACCTGTGTTCAATTCCAAGGCAGGGCAAAACCTTAGGCAAGTTTCCTTACTCCACACCCATCTGTTTACCTAGCAGTAAGTAGGAACCCAGTTGTTGGTTGATTGACAGATTGCTTTCTGGGGGTAATATTCTCTTCAAAACAATATATTAATACTAATAATAATTTGGTCATTTATTCCACGACTGTTTGTGGAATCTATGGTACTATTAATCCACCTAAACAGTCAGACCTTGGTTTAATGTCTCATCTGAAGGATGGCACCTCCGACAATGCAACACCCCCCAGCACTACATTGGAATGTCAGCTTAGACTATGTGATTCCTGACGTGGAGCTTAACCACAATCTTCTGACTCAGAGGCTAACACCTGAGCCAGTGATGTGGTCGGCTGTACAGCACAAAACATTTTAATACAATGTACCCAGCACCTTTATCAACACTTGACACTGCTGGCTGGGCACCTGAAGTGGGGTGAGAGACTGAGGGAGTGGGAAGGGGAAAGTTGATCAAAAGTGTTATCAAAGAGGAAAGTCTTGAGATAGGCCTTGAACGAGGAGAAGGAAGGAACAAGTCAGAGGGTGTTGAGGTTGGAGTTCCAGATTTGCTGAAAGCTTGGCCGCTAGGACCCTGGACTGATTTGAAAGCTAGGATGAGGATCTTGAACTCGACCTGCTGGGGGATGGGGAGCCAATGGAGACAGATGAGGATGGGCGTGATAGGCTCGCGGAGTCTGGTGCAGGAGAGGACATGATCTGCAGAGTTCTGGAGAGTCTGAGGCTTGTGGAATGCATAGATGGGGAGGCCAATAAGCAAAGCATTAGTGTAGTCAAACCTGGACATGATAAAGAACAGCAACAACAACTTGCATTCATAGTCAATTCACTTTACAGAATATTCTGTGAAGTGCTTTGTGACGTCTCAATGACATGATGAGGCTCTGTATCAAATGCAAGGATTATTATTATTATTTAGCACCTTTTACGTAGGGTAGTGTCTCAGAGTGCTTAGAAGTGGTGTTTCACACTGAGCTGGAAAGGGAGGGGAGGTGACTGAAGACATGGTTGAAGAGGAAAGCCTTGAGGTGTGATTTGGAGATGGTCAAAGAAGGGGCAAGATGAAGGGATTGAATGAAGGAGTTTCAGAGATCCAGGGCATAGCATGTGAAATGAGTGGATAAGACCACACATCATGAAGAGCAATGGAGTTATCGTGACTGAGAGTCAGATCCTGACGGGGAATCGGCTCTCAGGAGAGCGAGGGATTAGAGAACTTAATCTGCTGTTAGCACAGCACAATCCTCTGACCTGTCTCGCACAATGATGTCAGTAACATCTGAGATAACCCAGTCTCTTGGGTACCCCCGGGAGCGAACATGAGAGGCGAGGGGAAAGGACAGAGATTAAGCAAAGGGTTCAGTTCTGCACATCTGTCGAGGGTTTGTATACGTTGAAGAGAGTAGACATGATATGTCATCATCTTCCCCCCTTGCAATGCTGCTCGGGATTGAGGGAAAAGCAATAAATCCTGTGGGTCCCATGGTGTAGTGGTTAGAGCACTCGTAAGCGAGAGGCCCTAGTTTCGATTCCAGGGCAAGGCGAAACCTTAGGCAAGTTTCCTAACTCCACACCCCTCTGTTTACCGAGCAGTAAGTAGGAACCCGTTTTTTAGTCGATTGACGGATCACTTTCCGGGGGAATAACACCTCCAAAAAAATCTGTTCATTCAATCTAGCACTGTTTGTGGGATATTGCTGTGTGCAATTGCCTGGCATGTTTCACCCACAAAATACAGTCAACTCATTTTACAATATATTCTCTGAAGCCGTCTCAAAGGCCTCTTAAGGAGCTATATCAAATGCAAGGATTATTACTATTATTATCCATTATAGAAGACCCTCATCTCTGATATTGTTGAAGTGCTCTCTGTTAAACTCATGTCTGCTCAGTCTCTCAGTGCTGAGACAGAGGCAGAAAATTCTAAGTGTACCACAGAGTGGTGCTATATCTGTAACACATTCAGTCCCTTTTCCTGTCTACTTTGTCAATTCACTTTAGAGTATCTTCGGTGCAGCACTTTGAAATGTATCTATAATGTGAAGGCGCTATATCAAATGCAAGGAGTTTTATTATTAAAACAGGTTGAGGGTTGTTTTGGGAATGTTGCAATGATGTTGTGACATTCTCACTCAGTCCAGGCTGGTGCAAAAACCTAATATGATTTCCCGTTTCTTGTTTCCTCCTCTCCGTCTCCTTGCAGGTTGTCATATCCACCACCCTCAATGTGGACGGTCACGTGCTGGCGGTCTCTGACAACATGTTTGTGCACAACAACTCAAAGCATGGCCGGAGGGCACGGCGGCTCGACCCCTCCGAAGGTACCACACGCGCACACTCACACATAGGGGAACCATCTGAGGGTTTATAATAATAATAATAATTCTTGCATTTGATATAATGCATTATCATGTTGTTGAGACATCTCAAAGCCCTTCACAGAATATATTGTAAAATGAAGTGACTGTGTATTTTGTGGGTGAAACGTGAAACAACAGCAGTGGATTTAGTGACCCAATTTTTTTGGGGGTTGGGGAGAGATTATTACCCATGGAAAGCGATCCACCGATCGAGCAACAACTGGGATCCTACTTACTGCTAGGTAAACAGAGGCGAGTGGAGTAAGGAAACTTGTCTAAGGTTTCACCTTGCCTGGAAATCAAACTGGGGTCCTCTCGCTTGCGAAGCGAGAGCTCGAACCACTACACTATGGGATTCCATGGGACAAGATGCCTCTCACCTTGGGAGGACGTGTGTACGTTTTGCAGGTGGAGGCGGCAGCTGATTTGTGAACAGAGTGAAAGAGAGTATGTGAGCTAGAGAGTGAGCGAGTTAGAGTGAGGGAGTGCATGATTTTGTGAGAGAGCAAGAGGGAGAATTAGAAATGTGGGTCAGAAAGTGAGAGTGAGAATATTAGAGAGGGTGAGCTAGAGCAAGAGAGAATGAGCAACAGAGCGAGTGAGGGAATGAATTAGTGAGAGATCAAGAGATAGAGAATGTGAGTGAGAAGGAGTGAGAGGGAATGAATTAGTGAGACACTACGAGAGAGAGAAAAAAAAGTATGCGAACGAGAGAGTGCGAGGGAGCGAACCAGTGAAAGATGAAGCGAGAGCAGAGAGAGAGAGAGAGACAGTCTGAGATAGAAGCTGTGATTTGCCTGCATGTGTCACCAACAGTTGTATTAGTGCCTGAGAGTGTGATTATGAACGATGCTCCTTTTACAATCCACTGGATGACAGATTCAGTTAGCAGTATTTTCTGAGACGATTCCACAACTCAGGGTGTGTTAATGTATGGTGTGAGTCTGTAATGTATGTAGTGCCAACAAGCCCACTCAGTCACTTGCACTCTCATCTCCGAGTCAGAAGGTTGTCGGTTCAAGTCCACATTGGGGACTCTGAGCTCATAGTCTGTGCTGACATTCCAGTGCAGTGCTGAGGGAAGGATTGTCAGAAAGTGCCGTCCTTCAGATGAGACTTTAAACCAAGGTCCCGTCTGTCTATTCAGGTGGATGTTAGAGGCTGTGTGTTTTATGGAAAAATGTGGCAGCCAAGTTGCACACAACACAAACAGCCATGGAGTGAGTGACCAATTTTTATTTGGGGGATTGTTGGCCAGGACACTGGGAGAGAGAAACTCCCTTCTATTTTCTAATAGTGCCATGGGATTTTTAATATCCACCTGAACAGGCAAACAGGACCTTGGTTCAATGTCTCATCTGAAAGACGGCACCTCTGACAATGCAACACACCTCCAGCATTGCATTGGAGCATCAGCTTAGACGATGAGGTTCCAAGTCCTGATGTGAGGCTTGAACACACAACCTTCTGACTTAGGCAAGAGTGCTACAACTGCCGAAGCTGACAAACACACAAGGATAGCTTCTCAACATCCCCCTCACCCCCTTGGGCTTGCGTCCCACCTCCTTGCACCACCTCCTCCTGTAGCCTCAGCTCAGGGACTCAGCTCATAAATGGAGGAACAGATGGCACGAAAAGAAGTAAAGTTTATATCCTATTAGTGGATTGAGTGGCGACCATCTGCACAGCCAATTGCAGAAACACTGCGCTAGAGGTTTAGAAGTCATTACTGCAAATTTGCGGATATCTCCCAACATGTAGATTAGGCTGGAATGAGAGAGCCTGGCAGGTTTTCCGTCAGGGAGAAAATGGCGAAGGAGTTTTTTTTTACGATGTTGGAGAGAACTAGGGATTTGAGTTTGACGGCTAAGTCATTTTTCTTTATTATTGGGAATTGGGGAAGCCAGATGTTGGTGTGACATTGTGCGGGGAGAAGGGAGAGGACAGGAAGAGCTTCCTCATCCCCTCTCATTGGACTTACTGAGCCCATTCCTCTGGAAAGGGGGGTAAGGCAAGGCTGCCCATCAATAATCATAATAATTATAATAATCCTTGCATTTGATATAGCGCTTTTCACATCTTCTAGATGTCTCAAAATGCTTCACAGAATATATTGTAAAGTGAATTGATTGTATATTTGTGGGCGAAACACGGCAGCCAATTGATCACAGCAGTATCCACAAACAGTCGTGGATTGAAAATGACCAATTTATTATTGTTTTGTTTTGGAGGGATTATTATTAGGCCTGTGCCTGGAATTGAACCCAGGTGTCTCGCTTGCAAGATGAGTGCCTAACTGAGTTCTTGACCGGCCAGCTTGACCTCTCGCTTCCTTCCACCCGACATCCCCCCTCTCCCCCCCCTCCCTGACATTCCCTGCTCGGTCATGACCAACTGTGCTACAGGACTCCACCTGTCACCCACCCTGTTCAATGTGTTCATCAAGGACGTGTTGGATGGCATCGAGGGAGAAAGGCTTGGTATACCTGTTCCAGGCCTCTCTGACAGGATTGCGGCACTTCTGTTTGTGGATTCTATTGAGCTCTCCCCACCCCTCCCCCGAGCTCCCCTCCTACCCTTCCCCCCAGAGACATCTCAAAGCGCTGCATGGGCTTTGGTGTTGAGCGCAGTGACTGTGTGTGTATTTGTGGCCGCACACAGCAAAGTCCCACATGCAGCCATGAAGTGAGTGACTGATTTGATGTGGGTGATTATTTTTCCCACAAAATACACAATTAATTCACTTTACAGTAGATCTATCCCGTGAAGCGTTTTGAGTCACCTTGAAGACGTGATAAGGCGCTATATCAAATTCAAGGATTATTTTTTTTTGGTAACCGGTACACCTGAAGAGAGAAACTCTCTTCTCTTTTCCAATACCATCACGGCATCTTTAATGTCTGCCCAAACACCCAGAGACAGCGAGCTCGACTTTGAAGTCTCATCTGAAGGACAGCACCTTCGACAGTGCAGCGCTCCCGCCTCAGCAGTGCACTGGAACATTACCCTAGACTTTGTGAGCACAACATCTCTGACGTTGGGGATGGGGGTGGAGAGGGGGTGTGGGGGAAGATTGAACTTTCGTGACTCGGAAGCAAGACTGCTAGTGACTGAGCTTGGTTGGCATAGTATCATGTGTCTAGTGAGTGACAGACAGACAAGTGTATAAAGGAAATAGAGAGAACTTCTGTAATTAGGAGGAAAGAGACTGGGAGCAGGACAAATTGAAGCTCCTGTTTGAGCCAGCGAGCTCTCTGTTGGGAAACTAAAGTGTAGCCAATTAATTCTGTTAGATCGCACACTGAAATTTTTTGAAATACAGTATATTATACCTGCTCGCTCGCTTATTCCCCCAGAGCCTGGCTTTCTTCATTAACTCTATCCTAATTCCATCTCGGAAAATATCACGCTTCACAGCAAGGAATGTGGAATCTAAATGATTTTACAAAACCCACATGGAACTGGTTAAGTGTTTGAGGTTCATGTGTCGACCCGGCTTAGTCACTAGCGCTCTCGCGTCTGGGATAGAAGCTTGTGAGTTTAAGCCCCTGTTCCCCATGTGAAGCTCACAGGCAAGGCTGACGCTCTAGTGCATTGCTGGGAAGGAGGGTTGGGAGAGCGCTGCAATGTCTTAGACAAGTTTCCTTATTCCACACTCCTTTGTTTGCCCAGCACTAAGTAAGAACCTGGTTGTTAGTCGATTGGCAGATCGCTTTCCGAGGGTGACAACCCCTCAAAAAAAATGTGATCGCTCAAACCGCAACTGTTTGTGGGACACTGCTGTGCGCAATTGGCTGCCGCGTTTCGCCCAAAAATATACAGTCAATTCATTTTACAATATAATCTCTTGTCGGCCAGGGTACTGAGAGAGAGAAAATCCCTTGTCTTTTTGAGTAGCGGCGTGAAATCTTTAACGTCCACTTGAACAGGGCATTGATGTGGAGCTCGGATTAACGTCTAATCTGAAGGACGTCACCTCTGACAATGCAGTGCTTCCCCCAGCAAGGCACTGGACTGTCAGCCTCGACTCAGACCTCAGAGTCCTGACACGGGGCTTGAACCCACAACCTTCTGACCCAGATGCGAGAGCGCAAGCGACTGAGGCACAACTTATAAAGTGGCAGCAGTGCCAAACTTGGGGTCAAGTGTCTGCATTCACAGCACTGGATCTCACACACATACCGTCTCTCTCTATCGCACTCCCCACACTGTCTATCTCTATCCCTCTCTCTGTCCACACTGTCTATTTCTATCCCACTCTCTCCCACACTGTCTATCTCTATCCCTGTCTCTGTCCCACACTGTCTATTTCTATCCCTCTCTCTCCCGCACTGTCTATCTCTATCCCTGTCTCTCACCCTGTTTCTCTCTCTCCGTCTCTCACAGTCTTTCACACTGTCTCTCTTTCTCACTCTCACACTCTCTTTCTATCCCCACCCTCTCTTTCCCTCTCTCTCATTCTCTCTTAGCAGTCTCAAATGTTTCTGTGTCTCTCTGTCTCACTCTTTCTGTCTCACTCTCTCTCACACACACTCTCTCTCACACACTCTCACATTCTCTCCCTCGCTCCCTCCCTCTCTCACACACTATCCCCCTCTCTCACACTCTCTCTGTCTCAGTCTCTCTTTCTATCCTCCCTCTCCCTCTAATACACTCTCTCCCCTTTTCTCACACATTCCTTTCTCTATCACACTCTCTTTATTCCCCCTGTCTCCCTTTCTAACACTGTCCCCCTCTCCATAGCCCCCTTCTCTATCTCTACACCCCTCCTCACACCCTCACCCCCTCTCCTATGCACAGTACCATGCCTACTGTACAATGCCTGCTGGAGCCAGACCCCTTACAATAAGAGATGATCCCATGGAGAGCGATGTAATGTCACCTCCCCACTTACTGTCTCCATTACCTCATGTCCAGATGAGCGATGGCTGGCTGGGTGATGCTCACTGATTTACGGGTTTAGGATACATTTGTGAGTAATGCAAGGCTGCTGCCTGCCCAGTGATATCACACTCCCATCTCATAAAGTGAGCTAATAGCAACCTCCCTCACACCAGACCTTTCCAGCAATGTTTCACCTCCGAGCTCCTCACCACAATCCATTAACCCATTAATGGCCAATGGCAGCCTATGCATTATTATAAACAATAACAATAAGCGGAGTCCTGTAGCGTAGTGGTTAGGGCGCTCGCCTTGCAAGCAAGCAAAATTTGAGGCAAGTTTCCTTAGTCCACACACCTTTGTTCACCTAGCAGCAAGTAAGAACCTGATTGTTAGTCGATTGGTGGATCACTTTTTTGGGGTAATAATTGCTTTACAAAAATGTGGTCACTCAATCCACGACTGCTTGTGGGACACTGCTGTGTGCAACTGCCTGCTGTGTTTTGCCCATAAAATACACAATCAATTCACTTTAAGGAATACTCTGTGAAGCTCTTTCACACGTCTCAATGATATGAGAAGGAGCTTTATCAAATGCAAAGATTATTATTATAACAATAGGGAGATCGAGGGAGGGAGGGAGGAAAGACAGGTAAATGGGATTAAATTAATGTAATAAATTGGGGGAAACTGGCTGAGTGGGATCTTCCGTTGCCCGACTCGGATAAAATGGTGCAGATTAAGGCTGGTGTGTGTTCCCTGGGCTGAGGTGCTCTGTGTGTTTGTCTCTGTAGCAGCCACACCCTGTATCAAAGCCATCAGCCCCAGCGAGGGCTGGACCACAGGGGGAGCCACTCTCATCATCATCGGAGACAACTTCTTCGACGGACTCCAGGTGGTGTTTGGGACCATGCTGGTGTGGAGCGAGGTGGGTATGTGGAAAACTGGAGAGAGAGAGGGGGAGGTGAGAGGGAGGGAGAGGAGAGTGTGGGAAGAGTGGGATGGGAGGAGAGAGGGGGAGAAAGAGATACGGGGGAGAGAGGGAGATGAAGGGGAAGGTGAGAGAACGAGTAAAGAGAGTGCGGTGCGAGGGGGAAAAGAAAGAAGGGGATGGGGGAGCGAAAAAGAGGGGGAGGGAGAGAGTGAGAAAGAGAGAGAGAGAGGAGAAATAGAAGGATGGGGAAGAGAGGGAGGAGGGAGAGGTGGGAAGCCTATTATTAGAAGATTGGCCTTGGACAATGCAGTTGTGCTCTTGCCAGCTCAGTGGGGTGTGTGGCAGTGTGAAGGGGGTTGGGGGGATGCGGGGTGATAGGGAGGAGGTTGAGCTTTGCCGAGCTGGGAATCTTGGCCGCTGTGTGACACCCTCTCTCTCTCCCCACCATTTAACACCCTTTCTCTCTCTCTCTCTCTCTCCCCACAGCTGATCACGCCCCACGCTATCCGCGTGCAGACGCCCCCCCGCCACATCCCAGGCATGGTGGAGGTCACTCTTTCCTACAAGTCCAAGCAATTCTGCAAGGGAGCTCCCGGGAGGTTCATATATACAGGTCAGTGCTCCCCACCCCACATCTACACATTGTGTTCCACCATCAGTGGTCAGGCCTTCAGTCGCTCTGCCCCACCCTTTGGTACTCCTTCACACAGTCCCTTCATCCCTTCCCTTCTTCAAAACATGACTCAAGACCCTCCTCTTCGACCGCATATCCGGCCACCCTCCCTGCCCCTACCTCCCTGCCCTCCAGCCCCTGATCCCAACCCCCAGCTCGGGTCCAAATCCATGACTGTCCAGTGTCTTGAGATGTCCCCCTGATGTGAAATGCGATATACAAATGTAATTTGTTGTTGCTGTGGAGTTCAGCAGCGTATTGGTTAGAGCACTCACCTCACAAGTGAGTCATCTGGGTTCGATTCCTGGGTAGGCCGAAATATTGGGCAAGTTTCCTTACTCCACGTGACACTGTCCTCCTAGCAGTAAGTAGGAACCCGGTTGTTGTCGATTGGCGGATCGCTTTCCGGGGTAATAATCCCTTTAAAAAAATTTGGTCGCTCAGTGCATGACTATTTGTGGGACACTGCTGTGTGCAATTGGCTCTGGATTTCACTCACAAAATACACAGTCAATCTACCTTACAGTATATCTTGTGAAGCACTTTGAGGCAACATGATAAGGCACTATATCAAATGCAAGGATTATCGTTATTATTATTATTATTGTGTTCCGCCTTTGAAGTCCATGACCTTTAAAGAGTGAATTATTAGATGCACCGGTGAGATAGCCTATTGTCAGGCTGACACCTGACTCGTAGTGTATCGGCCAGCCCATCTGTTACTATGGAGTTTGGATGCTGATAGATTGAGGAGTGGATTCTTTTAAAAAGACATAAATCTATTGTTCAGATGTCTTTGCCATTACAGTACTCCACAAACTACACTCACATCAAGACACAAGACAAGCGATAGGCCAGAGAGATAGAAATAATGATGAAAACAATCTGTATGTTTGATACAGCACCATTCACATCAGGAGGACGTCTCATAGCGCTTCACAGGATTTTATTGTAAAGTGTAGTGACTGTGTACTGTGTCGGGAAATGCAGCAGTCAATTTGACACAGCAACATTCCATAGAATAGCCATGAAGTGAATGACTTTAATATCCTGTGACAGGACGCAGACGGAGCCTCGGTTTAATGTCTTATCCTAAGGATGACACCTCTGACAATGCGGTGCTCCCCTCAGCACTGCGCTAGAGCGACAGCCTAGACTATTTGAGTTCAAAGTTCCCGACGTGGGAGCTTGAACCCACAACCTTTTCACTGAGAGGTGAGAGTGCCACCGACTGAGCCAGGTTGGTACATAGGAGAATATGTATGAATGGGCGGGTGTGGTGGGGGGGAATTGATGATGCAGCAGAGATGGGTGGAAGGAATGGGTTAAGCCAGAGGACTCACTATTCCTATTTAACCTCTTCTTATGTAATTCTTATCTAGAATTATCATCTATCCAGGAATTCCGACTGCATCCTCACTCACACCAGCCACTGGGGTGGTTGTCCATGTGGTTGAAATTCCTGCCAAAATTGCTGGAGAGAATTCTGAAGACCTTTTTTTTTCTTAGTCAGTTGTCTGACTCATGCAGAATCAAGTCTTCGAACCAGACTGAGAGTTCCATATATGTTTGCCACCTACACATGGAAATTCCCTGTGTCTGGAATGGAATGTACTTTCTCTCTCTATCTGGAGGGAGTCACTCGGCTTCCCTTTTTTTTGGTCAGCTGTGTGTCTGACACATGAGGAAACCCATCACCATGTTTAAGAGTATCCAAACCAAACTGAGCATTCCATGCATCCCACCTACACACGGAAATCCCAGAGATAGATTGTTGGAATGGAATGCACACTCTCTCCCTGGAGGGATACATCCTGCTTACCTAATTCCGGAGAGTATTAGGTGCAGATTGGTAAGAGCCAAGGCTTGGGGACCCCAGAGTGTGTGTTGGGGGTAACTGCTGGAGTCTAACCAGCTAAAGCAGCATAGCTTGCTATTGAGAGCACTGCCTGGCAAGCTTTCCCGCTGCTTGTCCAGCCTGGACCACCCTACCCATTAGGGCTTTGGCTTACAGGGTTAACAGGAGCTGAATGGGAGAATTCCCTGCCCCCGAGTCATTATATAGAGAGCAAGCCAGTTAGTATTGATGATGTGAGAGTGACACTGTTCACCAAGTGGGAGGGAACAAGGACTTGTCTCCAGTCAGTTAGCATGCATTGATTGCCATACCCTGTTGGAGTATTGATCCTGATCTCTTATCATCAGATCATGCCGACACTCTGTTCACAGACACTCAGACAGAAATTTCTGCCACTTTGTGCTCATTTAATCCCTATTCTCCTAAACAGCCGAGCTCAGTCAGTACTGCTATTGCCTCTGAGGCAGAAGGTTGTGGGTTCACGTCGGGATTTGGACACTTTAGGCTGCGGGGAGGGGGCAATTTATTATGGAGGGTTCGTCTTTCGGGTGAAATGTTGAACTGAGGTCCTATCTATGTCTGTTCAGGGGACGTTAAAGATCCTGCAGCACTATACGTGGAGTCAAGTAGCTCAGTGGTTAGAGCATTCACCTTGCAAGCGAGAGACCTGAGTTTGATTCCCGGCAGGGCGAAACCTTGGGCAAGTTTCCTAACTCCACATGCCTGATAATAATCCCTCAAGAAAAAAAATAATACATTGGTCACTTCAATCCACGACTGTTTGTGGGACACTGTTGTGCACAATTGTCTGCCGCGTTTCGCCCACAAATATACAGTCAATTCACTTTCCAGTATATTCTGTGAAGCGATTTGAGATGTCTAGAAGATGTGAAAAGCGCTATATCAAATGGAAGGATTATTATGTTTATTCGAAAAAAGAAGGGAGTTTCTCTCTCTCGGTGTCCTGGTCGACAATCCCCCCAAATAATTTTGCAGCAGCTTGCAGGACGTTGCTGTGTGCAAATTGTCTGATGTATCGGCCAACAAAATACATGGTGACTACACTTTATACTAAAAAGACTGTGAAGTGCTTTGCGATGTCTTGGCCGAATCAAATGCAAGAATTATTATTGTGTTGGGGGTTCGGAAGAGAAGACAGGATGAACCATGAGGAAAGAATTGATGCGTTTTTGAAATAGCAACAGCCAGGGACAATAGCGAAGTGATGTTCATTTGGGAGGGGAGCATATATAATAATAATAATCCTTGCATTTGATATAGCGCCTTATCACATTGCTGAGACATCTCAAAGCATTTCATAGGATATTGTAAAGTGGATTCATTGCATATTTTGTGAGCGAAACACAGCAGCCAATTGCACACAGCAGTGTCCCGCAAACAGTTGTGGATTGATTGACCAAATTTAACTTTTATTTTGGAGAGATTATCAGCCCTAGAAAACTATCCGCCATCGATTAACTACTGGGTTCCTATTTACTGCTAGGTAAACAGAGGTGGGTGGAGTAAGGAAACCTTGCCTAAGGTTTCGCCCCGCACGTTAATTGAACCCGGATCCTCTTGCTTGCGAGGTGAGTGCGCTAACCACTATACTACAGGGATTCCCAGGTGGGGCAAAACCTTAGGCAAGTTTCGGGTTGAGAGAGGAGGAAGGGAGGGAGTGAGAAATGGTCCCATTTCTAATACCACAAGGAAAGTTGGAGATGACCTGGGAAAGAGAGGGAAAGGAGCACATGATCTGCTGTGTGCAATTGCTAAGTGAGTGGGGAGTGAAATGGGCAACTTGTGCGGGGTGGGAGGGGCGGAAATCAATACCAATTATCTAGGGCTAAAACGATGGTGGTGTTAGCAAGGAATCAGGCAATCTGTCTTCATACAGGCTAAGTGATCTGGGATGAAAGGTCAAACAAGACTCTTCCCCACCCCTCCACCCACCCTCATAATTACTGATCTATAAAAAAAGAAAGTGCTTATTGATTGCTTTAAGAGTCTGGAATCTACCAATAAAGAATACAATGAATGGGTAGGGGGGAGGAGAGGGCAGATTGGTGGGGGGGAAAAGGGGAAGCTTTTAATGACTGAATTTGTTCTCAATAGGGAGGACATATAAAATCACGCTCCCCGTCCATTCGTTTGAACACTCTAAATTGTTGTTGTCAATTATAATAATATTAATCCTTGCATTTGATACCTTATCACGTCGTTGAGATGTCTCAAAGTTTGTCACAGAATATATTGTAAAATGGATTGACTTGTGTGCAAAACATGACAGCCAATTGCGCACAACAGTGTCCCACAAACAGTCATGGATTGAGTGACCACATTTATTTTTGGGTGGGATTATTACCCCCGGAAAGCAATTCACCAATTGACTAACAACCGGATTCCTACTTCTTGTGAGGTAAACAGAGGTGCGTAGAGTAAGGAAACTTGCCTAAGGTTCTCACCTGGGAATCGAACCCGGGTCCTCTCGCTTGTGAGGGGAGCGTGCGAATCACTACGTTACGGGATTCCACAAGATCCTATAGTGCGCTGCTGTGAAAGAGAAGAGGTTTTTTTTCCGCCCCTCCATGGTCAGCAAGATTAAAATTGGTCATTTGCCTTAGAGGCTGTTTGGGGAGGGGCGAGGTGGGGGTGTTGGGGATCTTTGCTGCCCACAGAAAGGTGTGTGCCTTGAGCTGGGGGCTGTACTGTAATGTTGAAAGTTGTCTATGCTCCACGTGTGTCTGAAATCCCTACCTCTGCTTGACACAAACTCAGCGTATAAAAGATATTCTCTCTCTGTGTCTCTCCCTCCCCCTGCCGTTTCCTCTCCAACCAACCCTCCCCTGTAATCAGGCCATTAATCATAAAAAGCCTGTCAAATATGACTTTAGAGACAATTTGTCAAGCACGTAGCACCCTCTAGTTTTGGCAAGCGTAGGTCTGGTGGTAGCGAGGGTGATTGACAGCCAGAGAACAGACACGCAGAATGGCTTGTTTACACTAATATACGTAGGCTGGCATTTCATGAATAACAATCAAGGGCCCGGTGTGAGATACCTTTGCGGGAGGGGTGGGTGGGTGGGGGGGCGGTGGGGGGTGGGGGCTCAGAGTCAGCAATCTGCAAATAGACTGTATTACTGGAATTACAATATTTGTTTTGTCTGAAGCCAGCCTGCTGTGCCATTTGCTTCCAGCCGAGAGATGATAAATCAAATTGATTTAAGACAGATTGTTTGCGTTGGGCTAAGGGTCCGACAAGCACAGGGTTGTTACCAGCGACTGCCGTTTCGTTTGGTTCCCCCGCACGCTTGATTACCTCCAAAAGAATGATTTGTTTTTCTCTTATCTGTTTAAATATTTATGGCGATTTTCACCCCATATATCCCCCCTCCCCCTCCACCTCCGCCACGCCCTCTACCTGACACACACTCACTCGCTCTCACTTTCTCTGTGACTTTCTCTTGCTGTTGTTGTTTTCCTCTCTCTCGCCTGTTTCTTTCTGTCTCTCCCCTTCTCTCTCACTCTCTTTTTTTGAAACTGTCACTTTAGTGCTGTTGTTCTCTCCTTTTTTCTCACCTGTTTCTTTCTGTCTGCCCCCCTCTCGCTATCTCTTTCTCAGAAACTGCCAGTTTCTTGCTGTTGTTCTCTTTCTCATCTCTGTTTCTTTCTACCTTTCTCTCTCTTGTTCGCTGTCTTTCTCTGAAACTGTCACTTCTTCATCTCTTTTTCTTGCTTGTTTCTTTCTGTCTCTCCCCTTCTCTCTACTCTCTTTTGCTCAAGCGCTCTGAGACGCTAGCCCGCGTGGAGGGCGGTATATAAGTGCAAGTTGTTGTTCTCTGAAACTGTCACTTTCTTGATTTCTCGCCTGTTTCTTTCTGCCTACTCACCATCCCCCTCTCGTGATCTCTTTCTGTGAAACTGTCACTTTCTTGATCTCTCTCTCGCCCATTTCTTTCTCTCCCTCTCTCTCACTCTTTTGTTTTATTCTGTTACCCCCTTTTTCTTTTCTCCATCTCTCTGTTCTCTCTGACTTGATTTCATTCATTCATTCCATCTCTCTCTCTCTCTTTCCCTGTTCCTTTCTGTCTCTGTCTCCATCTCTCTTTCTCACTTTTTTCCTTTGAATTTTTCTTATTCATTCTATCTTTGCATCTGTGCCTTATTGGGATCAGTTCAGCATCAGAGACCACATTAGATACAAAAGACATTGGCATGATGTTCAGTGACTATATGTTTTGTGGGTGAACGCAGCAGCCAATTTCCACACAGCAATGTCACACAAACAGCCCTGAAATTAATGATCAATTTTCATCTGTGGGATTGTTGGCCAGGACATCAGGAGAGAGAAACTCTCCTCTTTTTGAATGATCCTGGGGGATCTTTACCATCCACCTCAACAGGCACAGACTTGTTTAATGTCTGATCTAAGGGACTGCATCTGTGACAATACAGTGATCCCCCAGGACTTCCACTGGAATGTCAGGCTGGACTGTGCCTTGATAGCTTAGCTCAGGGTTGTCCAACTAGCAACCCATGGGCTGCATCCGGCCCTATGGATAATTTCATTGTCCGACGAGGAAATACTGGTGACCTGCAGGCTCCGAGCCAATCAGAAGATAGTCACCAGGGACTCAAGCTCTGCCAAGGCAATGGGACTGCCCAATTTCATTTCTCAAATCTGGCATTCGGCCCTCAGCCACTAAAGGCTGAGGGCCGAATTACTCTAGATTAGATGTATCGAATGCAAGATTATTAACAAGATTGAGGATGGAGAGCAGGTGGGAGAAGCAGGGTGATCGAAAGCACAGTCGAAGAGAAGGGTCTTGAAGGGGATCTTGAAGGAGGCAAGGGAGGGGATGAGAGGAAGGACTGCAGGATGGAGTTCCAGAGGGTGGGGGCAAAGTGGCAGAAGGCCCACCTGCCAACAGTGGGGCAAGTGAGGAGGGGAACGTGAAGCAGGCTAGAGCACGCTGAGCGGAGGGAGCGAGCAGTATGTTAGGGGGTTAGGAGGTCGCAGAGGTAAGGGGGAGCAAGACCATGAAGGGCTTTGAAGGTAAGGACCAGTATCTTGAACTGTATCCTCTGTGTGATGGGAATCCAGTGGAGTCGGGCGAGGATGGGTGTGAGAGGGTCCCAGAGCCTAGTGCGGGAGAGGATACGGGTGAAGAGAACGAGAAAAAGAGTGTGAGAGAAAAGGGAAGGAAAGAAAGAAAGAAAGAAAGAAAGAAAGAAAGAAAGAAAGGAAGGAAGGAAGGAAGGAAGGAAGGAAGAAGAAGGAAAGGAAGGAAGAAAGAAAGAAAGAAAGAAAGAAAGAAAGAAAGAAAGAAAGAAAGAAGAAGGAAGAAAGAAAGAAAGAAAGAAAGAAAGAAAGAAAGAAAGATTCTGTGAAGAGAAGACACTCAGGGATACATCTATCCTTTAAGATGACACAAACTCCTACTTACTGTATCCCAATGACCAATTTACCTTTTCTCTTCAATTCTACAGCGTTGAACGAACCCACGATCGACTATGGTTTCCAGCGGCTACAGAAAGTGATTCCCCGGCATCCCGGCGACCCCGAGAGGTTACCCAAGGTCAGATCCCTCTCCATTGCTCTCTTTGTGTGTCTGTGTGTATGTCTGTGTGTGTGTGAGTCTCTCCCTCTCTCTCAGCAGTTATTCTGAATATTTTATTCGGCCATCGTTGTAGGCCACGCACAAAGGACTAGGCTGTTATACTGTAAAGCATTTTGAGACATCTTGAAGACATGATAAAGCAGCATATCAAATACAAGGATTATTATTATTACTGTAGACCAGGATGGTCCAATATTTTGGCTACTGCGGGCCAGATACCAGATTTGAGAAACATAGGAACAGGAGTAGGCCATTCAACCCCTCGAGCCTCAAGCTGTTCCACCATTCTATTGGATCATAGCTGATCTGTACCTCAACTCCAAATGGCGTGGTTAGTCAGGAGAACACTGAACTGTGTTGATTTCTTTTAAATGTTCCTGTGTTGGGCAATTGGTATTGATACAACCATTTAAACCAGCAAGGAGGTAGCGCATCCTCTCACTCTGAAAACGTATCCTTCCTTCTCCAATAATCATACTTGAATTTGATACAGCCACTTATCAGGTCAAAACATCTCAGTTTTCTCTAAAGTGTAGTGACTGTCTATTTTGTAAGGCAGCCAATACCAAACACAGTACCACAAACAGCCATCAAATGATTGAGCAATTTTATCTGGGGGATTGTCAGCCAGGACACCGGGAGAGAGAAACTCTTCTCTTTTCCAATAGCACCGCGGGATCTTTAACATCCACCTGAACAGGGCACACGTGAGGAGCTCGGTTTAATATCTCACCTGAAGGACAGCACCTCCTACAATGCATCGCTCCCGACACCCCACCCCCCCACACCCACCAGCACGGCACTCGCTGGATCATTAGCCCCTAGACTGGGAGTTCAGCGTGTTCTGGGGTGATTTTAAAAAACAGTCTGAGATTTTGCTTTAGTTTTTTAAAATGGAAATTGGCAGAAAAGGTTTAATTCCGGGTATAGACTTGAACAAACTCGAGCAAAATAATAACAACAGGCAGGGCAGGGGAGGAGAGGGGGCATGAGAGAGAGAAAGAAAGTGAAGGGGAGAGAATGAGAAAGAGAAAGAGAGAGATAGAGGGAGAAAGAGTGAGAGAAAATGAGTGTGAGAAGGAGATTGAAAGAGGACGAGAGAAAGAGAGCAAGAGGGAGTGCGAGAGAAGGAAAGAGAGTGAGAGAGAGCGACGGGATTCAATGGGGAGGTACCGTGCAAGAATGTGAGAAAGCGTGAAAGAGAGAGAGAGAGAGAAAAAGAGCAAGAGAGGGTGAGTTGGAGAGAGAGAGTGAGGGAGCAAGAGAGGAGAGAAAGAGAGTGAGAGAGAGCGACGGGATTCATTGGGGAGGTACCGTGGTGATACTCAGATGCAGGAATGAAAATTGACATGTTAAAAAGCTGCCATATTAAAACCATTCATCACACAGTGACACACTGAAGGGCTCTACAAACAGCATTTGATTTAAAAGTGGCCATTAATAGCCCATTACTCAGAGAAGCGGCTTTACGATCAGCAGTGTGAAGCTGACAGGGAGCAGCCACACTCACCTACACCACAAAGACCGCCCTACGCCTTTCCCTCTCCCTCCTGTTGTCTCACCGGTCAGCCATACATAATAACAATTATGTAAGAACATAGGAATTGCTGGATGAAAGAAGACAAAGGTCCATCCAGTTCACCTTCCGCCAATGCTAGCAGTCACATGCACATGTCTTACTGCACTCGACTGCAATCCGCCAATGGACTAACAGCTGGGTTCCTACTTACTGCTAGGTAAACAAAGGCGTGTGGAGTAAGGACACTTGTCTAGGGCTTCGCCTGCCCGGGAACCAAATCCAGGTTCTCTCGCTTGCAAGGCTAACCACTATGCTAAGGGTCTCCATGATAGTGATGTGGAGGCTGAAGGCACAGCCGTCGATGATGGTGCGGAGGGAGGGGTGAACTGGCTCCAAGGTGACATGTTTGGTTTGAATCAAGCCCACCCTCTGTGGCAGGCTCAAGTCCGGTTCCTGAGCCAGGTATGTCCGCAGTATTCCAGGGCACTGCTGATTATAGCACTGGTCATTGGCAGGACCTGGAAAGGCAGACAAGTCACTGAAGGAAGGGAATCCTCCTACTTAGCTCCCCTAATGGATAGTGTTCTTAACTGGACAAGCAGCAGGAAGCTTGCCAGACAGTGGTCTAAATGGTCTATGTAGTTTTAGCTGGTTAGACTCTAGAAGTTGGAGAGCCCAATGTACACTCTGGGGTTCCCAAGCCTTGGCTCTTGCAAACCCGCGCCTAATGTATGGAATTAGGTAAACAGGATGAGTCTCTCCAGGGAGAGAGCACATTCCATTCCAACAATCTGTCTCTGGGATTTCCATGTGTAGGTGGGATGCATGGAATTCTCAGTTTGGTTTGGATACTATTAAGCATGGTGATGGGTTTCCATATGAGTCACAAACCTAGCTGATCATCCGAAAAATGATATAGCACCCTTCACGCAGGGTAACATGTCAGAGCACTTAACAATGGCATAATTTGATGCTGAGCTGGAAAGAAAGGGGAGATGAGTCCTGGGCCAATAGAAAAGTGCGGCTGCACTTTCTGGGTGTAATCTGCTATAAACACCCTCCTGCTCTACAAACCCGCTATGAATGTAGTTACTGGCCCGCGGGCCACTCACTGGTTACCTGCCGTCACTGTGGGCGGAGCCGCTCCGGACGTTCGTGCACAGTGTGGCGCTTCACTCAGAGGCCCCACTGTTGTGATTGTCTGTGTATGTGAGTGTCTGTGTCTCTCTGTGTTTGTGAGTGTCTGTGTGTTTGTGAGTGTCTGTGTGTCTCGCTGTGTTTGTGAATGTCTGTGTGTCTCTGTGTTTGTGAGTGTCTGTGTGTCTCGTTGTGTTTGTGAGTGTCTGTGTCTCTGTGTTTGTGACTGTCTGTGTCTCTGTGTTTGTGAGTGTCTGTGTCTCTGTGTTTGTGACTGTCTGTGTGTCTCGTTGTGTTTGTGAGTGTCTGTGTGTCTCTGTGTTTGTGAGTGTCTGTATGAGTGTGTCTCTCACATCTTCAAGATTTTTCAAAGCACTCACAGAATATATTGTAATTCCCAATATTGTAAATTGAATTGGCTGTATATTTTGTGGATTAAACAACCATGGATTGATATATACAGTTCGTGGGACATTGCTGTGTGCAATTGGCTGTTGCGTTTCTCCCACAAAATACATAGTAATTCTACTTTGAAGTGTATCCTGTGAAGCGTTTTGAGATGTGATAATCTCTAATTGATGGTGTCAGCCTGGCTCAGTTGGTAGCACTCTCGCTTCTGAGTCAGAAGGTTGTGGGTTCAAGCCCCCAGCCCCCATGTTGGAATTTTGAGCTCACAGTCTACGCTGACGCTCCACCACAGTGCTGGGAGGGAACGCTGCTTTGTCAGAGGTGCCGTCCTTTGGATGAGATGTTAAACCGAGGTCCCGTTTGTGGGTGTTCAAGTGGACGTTATTGTATAATTAGCACATCACAGGTTACAATTTGGGTGTCAGTCACTGTGGCAACGGGGATGAAATCTCTAAATGATTTAACAGTGTAAACATTTCTCACGTTTATGACATGTTTAATTGGAATCGCGTCAACGAGATACAAATATTACCCTTGTGCTGTGTAAACCAGTACACCCTTCTAATTACTTCCCTGAAGTGGTTTAATAATAAATAATAATAATTTCAGCTTTTGATACAGTGCCTTATCGTGTTTTTAAAACATCTCAAAGGGCTTCACAGGATTTACTGTAAAGTGTGATGATTCATTCTGTGGGTGGACATGGCAGGCAATCTGTGCACAGCAATGTCCCACAAAGAGCCATGAATGAGTAATTTTATCTGGGGGATTGTTGGCCAGGACACTGGGAGCAATAAATTCCCTTCTCTTTTCAAATAGTTTCAACCACAAAATACATAGTCAATCCACTTTGCAACATATTCTGTGAAGCTCTTTGAGACGTCTCATCGACGCTATATCAAATGCAAGGATTACTATTATTTTATTATTATAGCGCTGCGGGATCTTTAATGTCCATCTGAACAGGGCACAGACTGGGCCTCGGTTTAACATCTCATCTGAAGGACAACGCTTCTGACAATGCAGTGCTCCCCCCAGCACTGCACTGGAGTGTCAGCCTGGACTCTGAGCTCAGAGTTCCCGGCTCTGGGGGGGAAGGGGCAGGGCTTGAACCCACACCTTCTGATTAAGAGGCGCGAGCGCTACCTACTGAGCCAGGCTGAGACCAAATAAGACATCTGCTCCTAATTGGGGTTGGCTGTTGCTCTGTCACGTTCACGTAAGGGTTACATTCCGCCTGTCACCGCGGGTGTTACTCTGTGCAGACCCACATAAACTCACAATCAAATCGCTTCTCAAGTTATAAATTATATCCACCCCCCTCCCCGTGCTCCCCCTCTCCACCCTACTGACTTCCAGAGATTTGCCTCTGATCACCACCTGCTATTAAACTTACATTCACAGCGTGATCAGTCTATGAAGACGCTATTAAGCATGGTGATGGGTTTTCAAATGTATCAGACATGTGGCTGACCAAAAAGAAAGCCGGGGGTGAGGTTGGAAGGGGGTAACAGACGACTTGAAGGTAGTTGCAAGGAGGAAGAAGGTGTCCCTCTGTGTATTCAGTGGTTGTGTGAATCTTACTGCTTTTGACAGTCTTTTTTACTCTTTTTCTCTCTTCTCCTCTAGCCCCCAGTTCCTCCTTCCTCCCATCCTGTCATCGTATCTTCCTCCCGTGCATTGCCTTCTTCCTTTCTTTAATCTTTAATCTTTTCTTTCATGTTGTTTTGCTGCTTTTCCTTTCTTTTCTCCTTCCCTTCTAACTTTTTTCATTCTGTTGTGCTTTCGTTTATTTCCTACTAGTAGAACGTGGGGAGAAAGGAAGGAGCTGTGGGAAAGGAGAGAGGAGGGGAGAGCCCTGGTGGGGGAATACGAACCCGGGCACTTGATACAGCACCTGTAAAAGTGACACGTCTCAAAGTGCTTCACAGTAATTTCTATTAAGTATAAGAACTGTGTATATAATAATCCTTATATTTGATATAGCACCTTACGTCTTTGGGATGTCTCAATGCGCTTGACAGAATATACTGTAAAATGTAGTGACTTTGTGATTTTATGGGCGAAACATGGCAGCCAATTGCGCACAGCAGTGTCCTACAAACAGTTGTGGATGCGTGACCCTTTTTTGGGAGGGAAATTATTATCCCTGGAAAGAGATCCGCCAATTGACTAACAACTGGGTTCCTATTTACTGCTAGGTAAACAGGCGTGTGGAGTAAGGAAACTTGCCTAAAGTTTCCCCCGGCCTGGGAATCGAACTCAGGTCCTCTCATTTGTGAACCTCACAAGGCTACAGGACTCCACATATTACATGTATAAATGCAGCAGTCAATTTGCACACATCAATTGAATGACAAATTGTATCTGGGGGAGCCAGGAGTATCCGAGGACAGCAGGACAGAGAAACTCCCTTCTCTTTTCAATAGTGCTGCAAGATCTTTAATGTCCACCTGAACAAGGCACAAACTGGACCTCGGTTTAACCACTCATCTGAAGGACAGCATTTCCGACAATGTGACGCTCCTCCAGGTGTTCCTATTAGAAAAGAGAAGGGAGCTTCTCTCTCCCAGATCGCACCCAGATAAAATTGATCATTCAATTCATGGTTGCTTGAGGGAGGTTGCTATGTGCAAATTGTCTACTGGGTTTACCTGCTAAGTACAGAGTCACTGAACTTTGCAGCTGTGAGATGTCTTTACCACTCTGTTTCAAAGGCAAGGAATATAAGGATTATTATAAGATGAAGATATTATTATTATTATTATCATGAAGTCAATCCTCTGGGTTTCAGACCAGTCAATGGGAGCAGGGACTCTTCCCGCTCAGCTCCTATTAACCGTGCAAGGTAAAGCCCTAACAGCTGATCACTGATGGGTTTCCGCGTGGGTCAGCACACGGCTAACCTCAAATAAAAACAAGTGTGTGTTGGTTTTGCAGGAGGTGTTATTGAAGAGAGCAGCTGATCTGGTTGAAGCCTTGTACGGGATGCCACACAACAACCAGGTAAGACATGGCAAACAGAGGCCTCTAATCTGATGCCTAGGCTAAGCAGGTCTACAGTATTCCAGGGCACTGCTGATGTCAGCACAGCCCAGCCTGGCTCATCGGCGGGATGTGGAAGGGCAGACCCGTCACTGGGAGTTGGGAATCCTCTCACTCAGCTCCTGTTAACCCTGCAAACCAAACCCCTAATGAGTAGGGTGGTGGTGGTCCTAGCTGGACAAGCAGCAAGCCTGGGGTGCTGGCGAGGGGGAGGGCAGATGTTGGGATGTTGGTGAATGGGTATACAGATATCGGGGTGTTGGCAAGGGGATATACAGATGTTGGGGTGATGGAAAGTGGGAATCCAGATGTCGGAGTGCTGGCGAGGGGTTATACAGATGTGACTCCCTGTGGTGGCCTGTGTTCCGGCAGGAGATGATCCTGAAGCGAGCAGCTGAGATCACGGAGGCCCTGTACAGTGTCCCCCGCAACCACAACCAGCTGCCATCGCTCGGTAACACCGGAGGTCACTCCGCCATGATGGGGGTCAACTCCTTCACCGGTCAGCTGGCCGTCAACGTGTCCGACCCGCCACAAGGCACGGAGCAAGGTGAGTGTACATCACTGTGTCACGGCTCCACATTCATTCATTCCTTCATTCAATAATAATGACCCTTGCATTTGATATAGCGTCTTAGTATGTCATCGAGATGTCTCAAAACACTCCCTGATATACTGTAAGCTGTATTTTGTGGGTGAAATGGTAGTTTACGCATAGCAATGTCCCGCAAACAGCCATGAAGTGTGTGAATCGAGTTTATCTGGGGGATTGTCGACCAGGACACAGAAAATCCCTTCCCTTTTTAAATAGTGCTGTGGGATCTTTAACATCCACCTGAACAGGAATTCGGTTTAATTTTTCATCTGAAGGACGGCACCTCTGCCAATGCAACAGACTCCGAGCACTGCATTGGATGTCAGCTTAGACTGTGTGATTACAAGTACCGACTTGTGGGTTTGAACCCACAACCTTCTGACTCAGAGGCAGGAGTGCGAACAGAGTGCTGTCCTACGTGAAGGGTACTACATAAATGCAAGTTGTTACTATTGTTATAATCCAATTTACGTTTATACAGCCCTTTCACTTTGCGAGCAAATAAGAGAAAGTGAGAGAGAAATAGTGCTGTGTTTCCTGACAAGTGCAGTTGTGGTACTTTATGATGCAACAAGCTGGAATGCTAAGATGTTGGTGATTATCATCGTTGTGTATCACTGGAGGTTTGGGCTTCTCTTTAGCCATCATCCTCAGGTCACCGAGCAGCTGAAACATACTGCTCTTTAAATTGCACATTAGAAATCCCAAACCCAATCGATAGGAAAATCCAATAGTAAAATTGATACATGAATTCAGAAATACTGAGAAACAAGAGAGCAAGAGAGAGCAAGGGGAACAGGGAGGGTGAGAGGGAAGAGAGAGGGAGAGAGTGCATGAGGGAGAGGGCAAGGGGTGGGAGAGATAGCAAGGAGAGAGAGAGAGAGACAGAGCAAGAGGGAGGGGGTAGAGTGAGAAAAAGATGGGAGGAGAGAGTGAGAGAGAAGTGGGGGACTAAGCTCGGCTGGGCAAGAGAACTGCAGTAACATCATTAAAGAAACAGGGTCTTATCTGGGAAGTGTCACTGGGAGTAACAACACCAACCTGCATTTATAGAGTGTCCTTCACATAGGGTAACATCACGGAGTGCTTTACAGAGGTGAGGGTTGGACCGAGCGAGGGAGGGGTGGGAGGGAGGGTGATATCAAATATTGAATATCGACAACAACAGCTTGTATTTATACCAACCCCTTAGCAACAGCAACAACAAATGACATTTGTATAGGGTCTTTCACAACGGGACAGAGAGGAGAGGTAACTGTAGGTATGTCAAAGAAGAAAGTCTTCAGGTGCAATATGATAAGGGAAGAGAGATTGTGTGGAACTTTACACCATCTTAAATGTAGAGACAAAGTTCACAATTTATTTCAGGGCTTGAAGATAATAATAATCCTTGCATTTGACATAGCCCCTTATCATGTCATTGAGACAATACAATAATAATACTAACCAGAGAACACGGCCTGCGATTAAACTGAGGTAAATTCAGAACGAACCTACGGAAACACTGTTTCAATGAGCAAATAGTGAACTTGTGGAACAGACTTTTAGGAGATGGTTGAAGTAAGAAATGTTGATTCCTTCAAACACTGAGTAGTTTTCTTTTAAGAAATAACATTATGGGATATAGAACATGGGTAGTTCAGGACATATGTGCGTGTGGTCACCAGGAAGGTGGAAGGTGAACTAGACGGATAATTTTTTCGGCTAGCATTTCTTATGTTCGTATAATAATAATCCGTGCATTTAATATAACACCTTTTCATGTCTCGAGATGTCTCAAAGAATATACTGCAAGGTGAATTGACTGTGTATTTTATTTCAGATAGATATATTTCAGAAGATATACATTGAACCTGGAATAAGCTTGTGTGTTTTTTTTCTCTCCCCCACCCACCCCACCCACCCTACTCTCCCGTGTTGCGGGAGTAGGTTACTCTCGGAACAGTAACAGTGTATCCCCCAGAGGCTATGTGCCGGCCTCCACTCCCCAGCAGACCACCTATACCACCAGTATGAACGGGTACGGAAACGCTGGCATGTCCAACCTCGGCATTCCCACATCCCCCAGCTTCCTGAACGGATCAGCAGCCAGCTCTCCTTATGGCAGTAAGTCTTATGGGGGCGTGGGGGGAAGATGTCCAGGCAGAACAGCTGTTTTTATTAGACTGGGGAGGGGAAATGGGGTTTGGGGCTGTTAGGGGGATAAGTGTTGGATACTGGATCAATTCAAATTTTCAAGACTGAGGTGGATAGATGTTTGTTAGGTCAGGGTATCAAGGGATATGGGACAAAGAATTGGAGTTGAGGTGCATATCAGCCATGATACAATAGAACGGCGGAACAGTTTTGAAGGGGCTGAATGGCCCACTTCTGTTCCTGTGTAATCGATCCATTGATCGATCCATTCACCAATCAATCAATCAATCAATCATTTAAGCTTATGAAAGCATTTGATAAGGTGTATGTTAACGGGTTGTTAATGGGTCCACTAGTTGGTGAGTCTGTAACTAGATGCTATAAATATAATAATAATAATCTTTGCATAAGCTAGTGACAACACATCTCACAGGGAGTTTAGGAGGAACTTCTTCACACAGAGGGTGGTGAGAATGCGGACCTCACTGCCAAGAGCTGTGGTTGAAGCACTGAATGAAAAAGAAGGGAATATGGAAGTGTATGAGAGGGGAATAGGAGGGATGGAGGCTCATGTGGAGGATAAACACCTCTGACAGTGTTTTGTGCCCACACCTTATTCTCTCTCTCTCTCTCTCTACTGCTATGATCTCTGTAGTGAAACAGAAAAGTGCGTTTGCGCCAGTCGTCAGGCCTCCGATCTCACCACCGCCGCCCTGCTCCAGCTCCGGTGCGAACAGCCTGCAAGGTGAGCGAGCGAGTGAGCACCTCTGGGACCACATTGACACCAGCGTTATGTTCCACCTCCAGTGACCTGTGGGTTTATCAGACATTGTGGGGGCTGACAAAGGCAGGCTTTTTGATGGTTTTGGTGTTCGTTCGCTCTGCTCTCCACAAGCCCCACAACTCTGCAAACCACACCCTCTACAAACTCTACCCTCCACAAGCTTTCTAAAAGTCCCGCAGCTCTGTCCTTTACAAATTCCGCTCTCCCTCTGTATCCCACGCTCTCTGGAACCCTCTCCCTAAATTCCCTTGCTTTATCCACTTCTCTCCCCACATTCTGCAGCCTATTAGCAGCCTATCCTTTGATTGTGACTTTGTGCCACCCCTGGAGAGCATGGCTATTGGGGTGCACTGGGAAGGAGCAGGAAATTGGGATTCAATAACGTACAGCCAACAATTCCCCAGAAAAACTTGTTCTCACTTCACATTGCTCTGTGCAAATTTGCTACTGCGTCACAGTCATTGCACCACACAGTATATCCTCCTGACATGAAAGGTGCTGTATCAAATGCCAGGATTATGATTATTGTTTTAAGCCCTTCGAGATAATAATAATCCTTGCATTTGATATAGTGTCTTATCATGTCGTTGAGACATTTCAAAGCGTTTCACAGAATATACTGTGAAATGGACTGACTGTGTATTTTGTGGGCCAAATATGGCAGCCAATTGTGTACAGCAGTGTCCCACAAACAGTTGTGGATTAAGTGACCAAATTTTTGACCAGATGTTTGAACATTGTAAATACCGACTGAGCGCAGAGTGGACGCAAGCAGATTAAAGATGAGAAATATCCTTTAAAGACGAGAACAGGGTATCACGAAGGGTGGCTGAGGCCAGGACACTAGGGCTCATTTATAAAGCAGTTTGGCGCTGTGTTTGGAGGGCAGTTGGTGGGTAATTGGAGGGTTGAAACCAGAGGGGCTGAAGGGTCTTATTCACCCGAACCCGTTGTATGATTTTGCAAAGGCTTGTTAATTAATTCATTGTCTTTCTCTCTCTCTCTCTGTCTCGTCTACTCTTTGTTTCCAAAGCCATGTCTGGTCTGATCATACCCCCGATGTAGAGGAGGAGTGAGAGGAGATCTTCCATCAGCCGAAGACGAAGGCAGGGCACGACGATCTTGAGGGCTGTGCGCACTCGGGGGAGAGAGAAAGCGAGAGAGAGATTTAGGGTGAGAGAGAGAGATTGTAAGGAAGAGAGAGATGGAGATTGAAAGAGGGAGATTGGGCGTGAGAGAGCAGGGGGAAAGGACAGGGGGAAAAAATACCCTGACACATTTCTTCTGTTTCATACATGTTGCCAACGACAACCAATTATTTATTCACGGACCTTGGCTTTTCAAAGTTGGCATTTTCCACTGTTGTTCACAATTTTTTTTAAGTCCCCAAATAACTTTGTACGGTACACGGTCAGTGTGGGTGGGGTTGGGGGGGGTGGGGTTGGGGTGGGTGGGGTTCTGGAAGAGTGGGTCAGGGACATGGAGCTGGGGATGGGATGGGAGGGATAGGGGGAAGGAGAAAAATAGTCGGACTGGTGGCTATTTTGAATTTGAAAACAGGAAGTCGTTTTTGCCCCTTGTTTGTCCTGAGCTGCCTCGAGGAGGGGAGGGTGGGGCGGGGATGAAGACACCAACGGGAGTGTTGCGACGCAGAGACTGGAGAAACAGAAAGCCAGCCTGCAGAACAGGAAGAAGTCAACGCTACCCCGCTGAGTTGGACAACTGAAAGAGGAAATGACCCACTTTTTAATGGGGTTCAACGCCAGCTTCCCTGTTCCGTATTGCGTGATGAAGAATGGACTTGGTGGTGGGGGAGGGAGGGCAGGTGCTGGTTGTGGGGGAGGGGACAGGGGTGCGTGCACTGTATGGGGGAGCACTGCGTTTTCCGTCTAAGCTTTTTTCTCCATCGTTTATTCTTTAGCCACATTTCCTACCTCCGCGCTGACCCTCACCACCCCCACCCCAACCACACAAACCATTTTGGGGGTTGGATGTTCCACTTCCTAATAACCCTCTGTGTGTGGGTGTGTGTGTCTGTATATGCATGTGTGTGTGTATGTTATGTGGATGCTTGTGTATGTGTGTGCGTAAGTGTCTGGGTGTATATGTTTGTGTGTGTGCCGCGTGTGTGTATATGTGCCTGCGTGTACTTGTGTGCATTCCACTTTGGTGATCACAAGATCAGTTCAGATGAAGAAAGCCCTTTGGCCCATCTGATCTCATCCCTCCAGAACACCAACCCTACGATCCCCCCAACACAGCATCAAGCTGTTTTTTAACTGAGTCCCAGTGTCCTGGCCTCAACCCTCCTTCCTAATAACCTGTTCCAGTCGTTAAAGAAATACTTCCTGATGTCTTTCCTGAAATTACCCCTTTGATCTCAGATTGATGCCCTGAAGTTAGTGATTCACTGACCAGAGGAAGTTACTTCTCTCTCTCTGGGGTGTGTCTAACTTGGGAGAGAGGACAAAATGAGAATTGGTGGGGTTGGAGGGGCGGGTAATTGTCATTTGGGAAGGCACGGGGAATTATCTGATGGAAGCTAAGATTCTTGTATGTTATTGTTAAACAGGCTGTGGCATGTGTAACATATTAAAGGGAATGGCCTTTGCACTGACTTGATGGTTTTGCCCCATTGCTGTACGACGCAGTCAAGGACAACAGCAATAATTTGCACTGATACAGAGATTGTGTGGTGTGGCGATGTGGGTATGATGGGTGGAGGACGGGTGGAGAGGGGGCGATGACCGAAATCGCGGTTAAAGAGCACGATTGTTCAGTCGCTTTGCTGTGAGCTGTGGGTTGAGGTGCCGTCGATCCTTTGGGCATAGATTTTTGATGCTGTTTCAAATAAAATCCTAACGTTTTTTATTATTTATTTTTTTCATTTTGAAAATACGAAATTCCGTACACACACAAAAAGATTTCTGGAGAAGTTTCTACGAAGATATCTTAAAGAAGGTTCTTTTCTTAAAAAAAAGAAGAAATATTTAAAGAAGGAATATTGATTATACTGGCATACTGGAAAACATCCAATTGTGCTGGGGGGAAAAAAATTATAGTTTCAGAGAAATCCCACTTTTTATTTGCATAAGATTTTCATACAGCTCTGAAAATTCTACACATACAATGTATATACTGTGTTAATTCCCCTGCATGTCAGTACAGTCTCTATTGTAGCTCATCAATTCATAATCTGATCAATGGAGTTTGCTGTTTCCTGTGCACTGTAACGTCACCGTTGATAGGAAAACACAATTGAATATTGTTACTATAGATCTGTGTTTCTGTAGACTACAGAACATAAAATTTGGGATTAAGATGTCTACTTTAAAACAATAATAAATTGGTCATTTCAATCCACGACTGTTTGTGGGACACTGCTGTGCGCAATTCGCTGCCGCATTTCGCCCACAAATATACAGTCAATTCACTTTAGAGTATTCGGTGAAGTGCTTTGCGACTTCTAGAAGACGTGAAAAGCGCTATATCAAATGCAAGGATTATTGTTGTTATTATTATTTTTTTCCCTCTCTTCCTGATGTCTATCTGGAAATTGACTTTTACAACTCTAAACCTTTGTCCTCTTGTTAATATTAATAATAATAATTATCCTTGCATTGATATAGCATCTTATCACGTTGTTAAGCTACTAAATTACTATAAATTGTTCTTCTGTCTTAGTGCATCTGAACATAATTTTCTTGGGTTTACATTCTCATTCCCATTTAAAACCTTGTACACTTCTATAAAGTCCCCTCTGAGTTGTCTCCTGTTGTGACTGAAAAGTTCCTAGCTTATCTAATCATTGCTCACAGCTCATTCCTCCATATACAACAGAAGAAACTATCTTCTTTAATGGACATAAAAGCTCAATATAGATACGTAAAAAAAACACACATATAATATATAATACTAATCAATGCATTTGATATAATAATAATAATAATAATAATCCTTGCATTTGATATAGCGCTTTTCACGTCGGGAGGACGTCCCAAAGCGCTTCACAGAACACACTGTAAAGTGAATTGACTGTATATTTGTGGGCGAACGCGGCAGCCAATTGCGCACAGCAATGTCCCACAAACAGTCGTAGATTGAAAATGACCAATTTATTATTATTATTTTTGGTTTTGGAGGGATTATTATTAGGCTCTGTGTGGAGTAAGGAAATTTGCCCAAGGTTTCGCCCTCTGCCTGGAATTGAACTCAGGTCTCTCGCTTGCAAAGCGAGTGCTCTAACCACTGAGCTACAGGACTCCACTGCCTGGAATTGAACCCAGGTGTCTCGCTGGGACTGTAAAGAATATACTCTGAAGTGAATTAACTGTGTATTTTGCTGGCAAAACACGCAGCCAATTGCGCACAGCAGTGTCCCACAAACGGTCATGGATTGAGTGATAAGGGTAGGCATTATTAACCGTGGAAAACGATCTGCCAATCAACTAACAACAACAACTTGCATTTATATAACGCCTCATGCAGGGTAGCATCCCAGAGCACTTAACTCCCAGGTTCCTACTTGCTGTTAGGTAAACAGAGGCATGTGAAGTTAGGAAACTTGCATTAGGTTTCACCCTGCACGGGAATCGATCCGGGTCCCTTTGCTTGCGAGGCGAACACACTCACTCATCATCCTCCCGGAGTGTTACTCTGACAGACGGTTTGGAGTCTGACACTGGGGCGATGCTGGGAGAGAGGGGAATGGAACCCTGCACTCTGACCTTTCCCCTCTGGGATCCAGTGAGCTTGACATCTAGTTAGTGCCTCAGTGGAAATATGTTCTCCCTATTTACTTCATCGAAAGAAAAATCAAGCAACCTTGCATTTATACAGCGCCCGTCACACAGGGTAGAGTCTCAGAGCGCTTAAAAGAACAGTCGCCATTCTGAACATGTCTGTCAGGCCTGCTCACAGCTCCCTGTTACTGTGAAATCAGCCCTAGTTAACTCCAGTCTCCTCAGAAGCAAAGCCTCTCTTCCCTGGTCTCAATGTAGGGTGGAGTCCTGTCGTGTAGTGGTTAGTGCGCTCGCCTCATAGGTGTGAGGACCCGGCTTTGATTCCCCGGTTGGGCGAAACCTTAGGTAAATGGCTTACTCCACACACCTCTGTTTACTTAGCATAAGTAGGAACCTGGTTGTTATTCGATTGGCAGATGGCTTTGCTGGGGTAATAATAATTCTTCAAAATAAAGAAATAATAATTTGGTCACTCAATCCATGACTGTTTGTGGGACACTGTCGTGCACAATACACTGCTGCGTTTCGCCCACAAAATATACTACAGTATACTCACTACAGTATATTCTGTGAAGCTCTTGTGAGACATCTCAACGATGTGATAAGGCGCTTGTATCAAATGCAAGGATTATTATTAGAGTGTGTGCGTGTTGGGGGGTGGGGGGAAGGGGAAGGAGGTGCACGAAATGCTTTAACATGCGCTCCTGGTCTCTCTTCCCCGCTGTGTCAGAGTGGAGCGTGTGAGCCCGGCTCACTGTATTAGCAAGCCCACATTCCAGGAAAAGCTAGACAGACAAACAGACCATCACCTGTGGAGCTGAAACCATGGCAACGGTTAGCACAAGACAGAACAAATGGCTACTTTTTAAAAAAGGCCCGATTCCCTGGCTTCTCCACAAAAATAGAGATTTGCAGCTCACCGTTGAGCGACTGTGAGCAATTATTGAGGCAAAGTGGGGGATGTGCAATGCTGATGTGTGAGCTCCCTCTTGACCCTGAGCTGCTGAGATAAGATATTATCCATAAAAACGAGTTTCCAAAGGCGGTGGAGAAGATTGAGAAAGTTCAGAGTTGGTCACGGATATCGTGTCAGGCTTGGAGTCGAAATGAGTGCCTGAAATCAGTTCTGTCCAAATGAAAAGTCTCTGATTTCAGCCGGTCGTCTCATGGCTGAATAGGTGAAGGATATAATAATAATAATCCATGCATTTGATCTAGCGCCTTATCACATTGTTGAGACGTCGCAAAATGCTTCACAGGATATATTGTCAAGTGAATTGACTATGTATTTCGTGGGCGAAACACGGCCTCCAATTGCGTACAGCAGTGTCTCTCAAACAGTCGTGGATTGAGTGACCATTTTTATATATATTTATAAAACAAATTTATTTATATATTTTTGGAAGGGATTATTACCCACAGAAAAGCACCATTCGACTAACAATCGGATTCC